AGTGACTATTATGCGTCTTTCTCCTGCAATTTATAAACTCAGTCTAAGTTAGAAGGCCACCCTTCCACCATTACTGCGGTCAGTCCTCTGTGTGTTGACTTATTCCTGGATGTTTCTGCATTATATGGGAGTGCCTACCGAGTAATGAAGTGCCCATCAATCACACTTTCATGTTAAATTATTTTTATATCCCAAACAGAAATCATGGTGATTTCTCAAAAGTGCTTGCTATATTGGAATTTGTCATTAAGCTCATGTGTTCAGAAATGCTTTTTTATATGTAGGGCTGTTCAAACTATTCAAGTACAGATAATATTTGTTTCATATTTACTACCTTTTGCGGGTTAGTAAATTGTCCAGGAACCAAACCAGATTCTATTAGAATGTATTTGTTGTTCAGAAGTATTTGCTAAATAGTTTTGATAAATAACTTTCAGATAATGGATGGTTCCCAAATAATTAACTTCTGCTATTTGCTGTTCATTATTCATGGTGTGTAGTTGCCTGGAGTATTATTTTTCTGCTCTGATTGGATGACTGCAGCTTTAAAAAAAATCTAAACTGAGGACAGAATAATAAATACAACACTCTGATAAGAATTCTTAGATAAGTAATAATTGGTGCTAAAATATGATTTTTATGGTATTCACAAACTATCATATATACCCAGTTATTGTGTGAGTACTCACAAATATGGCCCCCATAATCATAGTGAGTCAAGTTCAGTGCTTCACTTTTCAAAAATATTCTTGAATAATTGTTTTTACTAGTAAACCAGCTCTGGTTAACAGGTACAGTATGATCAATATATAATCAGTATAATAAATGTATGCAGAGTGTGAGATACTAGTGATCACTTCTGGCATAAAGGAAAATCTTTCAGAAGAGATGACATTTTCAGTGCTATATTTATTGCTTATCTAAACCAATCACATCCTTACTCCCAAGCTCCAGGGAAAGATCTTTACTTATGACTTGGCACAGTGTGAACTTAACAGATGGACATAAGTATCAGTAGCCAAAAGCCAGTACTCAATGTACATTTAGGGTGTTTGTTGATGAGAAGATTCCTAGATAGGAATTTCCAAACAGCTGTCAATCCTAAATCTATAAGCCTATGTTTAATATGATGTGTCATTGCTAATCCTGCTCTGAGAGACTTCCACTTACAAAAACACTAACTGCCCAGGCTGTAAGGAAAGGCTGTTTTTCTGTCTCTTTGAACGTTGTGGTGCATGCCGGGTATATGTTGCAGAAAATATTGGCTCTACAGACAATGCATCCTGGCTGTTATTTACTTCTCCCCATTGTGAATATAAATAATTCCACAATATTTATTATAAACAACACTGAAAATTAAGGCTATGACACATTTTGAAGCCAGACCAAGTAGTGTGGTGTTATTTCACCACGAGTGCATGTATTTGTGCAGCAGACAAAGGCAATTTTAAATCTCATTGTCCATTGGGACCATTAAACTCCTTTGAACTGTTGCACCCAGAGATATAGGACTGCAATGTGAATCTAACATTCTGAACTTCAAGGTTCTGTTGAGAGCAGAGGCTGCTCAAGACAATCTGTTACTCTGGGCAAAACCTTGGTGGGCTTCCCCCTTCCTACTCCCTAAAACAGAGTTCTCAACCCGTGGGAAGGGGGAAATCAGATTTCTTGGAAGCAAGTACCAGATTGCAGTGCCACTCACTCACTCTGTCATAACTGGGGAATGGCCAACACAAATTTGAGTGAGTGGCATTGCAACCTGGCACACAGGATTGCTCTGCCACTCAGGTTTGATGTGGCTGCCCCAGCCATTCTAGGTAGCTGCCTAGCTTGTCTACAGCTAGCGAGACTCTCGTTTGAAAATACAACTGCTTCTAAAATATCTTTTTGTTTTGACAGCTGCGGGATCAACATGTGGAGCTGATTGAGTCTATCACTGCAGAGCAGAAATTTCTGGGTATTATCTCCATGCTCGTAGTTAATATTTGAACTGTGACCTTATAGTCCAGTGCAACACCACTATCACTAATACTAAAAGAACCCCCCCCCCCTTTCTCTCTCTCTCTCTCATTTGCAGTTCTGCTAAGCTCTTTTGTTTTGCTTGGCAGTTATGTTTATGTATGTGGGGGTAATACATAGTTTCTATAGTGGAAGAGCTTGTAATCAAATGATCATAGAAGACAATTGGGGCTCCAGAATCCTGGATTCTGTTCCTACTTCTGACTCTGATCTGTCATTTAATCTCTCTATGACCCAATTTTCTCATTCATAAAATAGCAATAATATTTATTGATCTTACACAGGGATTGTGAGGCTTAAATGAGATTTGTAAAGTGCTTCAAAATCTTCAAATGAAAGGTGTTATATTAGTACAAAATATTTAACAAGAATGAAAGTTGTGCTCATATTTTCATAGAACATGTTATTACATGTTTTCATCCATACTGTGGCAGTAGTAGGTAACCAAAGACCTCCCCTACTCACACTGGAGGAATGTTTGTCAAAATTAAAATTTTAAATGTAGAAAATCGTACAATTTACTAAACTTTCAGGATGACACAGTCTTTTTCTTAAGATTTCAGACAAGAGTTTAGAAAGTGCAGATGTCTATAAGGCTCAATGTGTATTTTATGCACTGAATTTGTATTAATAATGGTAAAAACAAAAGTGCCCATAAAACAGACATTCGAAGGAAAAAAGGTAGTCCCCAAAATGCCCTGTAGATTTTGTCAGTTATAGAAATTGCTAAGGGAGCTTTGAGTAATTATGACACTTTTATTATTCCTTTAACTTTCCCCAAAAATATTCCATGTGAAATACACATCTTTGTACATTTCTGCTTTTGCTGTGAATAAAAGAAAAGCCCATATTAGAGCCAGAGGGTGAAATCCTGGCCCCACTGAAGTTGTTGGGTAAAACTTCCATTGACTTCAGGAGCCAGGTTTTCTCTCGCACACAAATATATGTTTTGGAGTAGGATGAGAAACTAGCTAATTGTCAGCACTATTGGCATTTGGGTAGATGCCATGTTAAAGAATGACTGAAAGAGCTACTGGAATGGCACACTGGGATTACAGGCACAGGGGCCAGCCTAGTATCATTGAGGTCAAAGGGAAGTCAAAACCCCTGCAGCTGGAAATTGTGCAAGGCTCTAATAGCAGTATCAGGTGCAGTTAAAATTGGGGAGGGGTTACTTGAGGGAATCCTCAACCTTTCTGCTTGAGTACTGAAAACACAAGTCTGATAAAACTAGGTGCAGAACTAATAGATAGTGAGTGTACTTAGTAAGTGATATTTTAAATATAGTTTTAAAAATGAAATATCTCATCTTTAAAAATCCCATTAGGATAAATAATATCTTGTCTCACTGGGGATCATTTTGGGCACATTATATTGAAAACTACTTATTTTTCAGTCACTTAAAGGCGTCTATTTTATGTTGTGTGATGGAGAGCAGTTTCCTGTTCCAGCAGTCTCTTGAGTATGCAAGAAATAGAACATCCTGTTCCATCTTGCATATTGGCACGTCGTTTAACTGTTCTTGCTGATTCACATTTTTAAGCCTTGACAGTGACTTGCTCCGAACATAGCATAATGTCATACTCTGAAACCTGTCATAACTCTGTTTGGCAAGAAAGTTTAAACAGCACAATGCAGTTTCTATGTGCGTGTAGTCATTCATCCCTGTTTAATAAGCATGCAGATAAATCTATTCTATAAAACACAGCAGGCTAGGGGAAAAACACCCCATTAATCTCTCCGGCAACTTTGTATTAGAGAGAACAAAATTTCATTACAAACAAACTGCCAAACTGGAGCATGGTTCCTATTACTTTTTAGGTTTAGTGGAAGAGATGTCTTCTAGAAAACTGCCCTTTTACTCTCTGCAGGTCATGCATGCTGCTCACATATAGAGATGCAAAATAGGTCTCCTGTAGAAAAACTATTCAACAAGGGAACAATCTGTTCTGAGCTTATACTTCATGCGTCCTTCTCTGTTCACAACTTTTCCATATTCACCTTGATCATTAAAGGACAGAAAAATAATTAATTATCTCTCTCTCTATATATATATATAGAGAGAGAGATATATAATATAAACCCATTAATTTCCTCATTTTTTACCTTTTAAATATGTTTGCACTGATGCAGCCAGGAAACCAAGGGATCCATATTTTGGACACATCTTCTCCCCTTCCCCAATCACTGGTATCATTAGTTGCACAGGCCGCCACTCCGTGGGTGCTGGAGCACCCATGGGGAAAAAACGGTAGGTGCTGAGCACCCACCAGCAGCTCCCCCTATCAGCTACATCCCCCACCCCCTAGTGTTTGCCACCTGCCAGCAGGCCCAGCTGACCAGCGCCTCTCCCTCCCTCCCCACGCCTCCTGCCCACTGCGATCAGCTGTTTCACGGCATGCAGGAGGCTTTGGGAGGGAGGGGGAGGAGCGAGGGCATAGCACGCTGGGGGGGAAGGGGCAGAACGGGGTGGGAAGAGGAGGGGCAGGGTGGAGCAGGGGCGGGAAGAGGCAGGGCTGGCCCTTGGACAAAGGGGTGGAATGGGGGCGGGGCCTGGGGCAGAGACGGGGGTTGAGCACCCCCCAGCACATTGGAAAGTCTGCACCTGTAATTAGCTGAACAGGTCAGCTTCCACTGATCAACAATATGTTGAGTCAAGTGGCTGATCTAGTATTCATTTTCAGCCAGCAGCATTCTTAAAGTGCTTTGGCATTTTTCAGTGGAAGTGGGGCACTGGTGTGTTTACTGAGCCTAATGGCCTGCTAGGCATGGGTGAGAGCTTCTTAACGAGGCTTTGATCACTAATCCCTTTAGGATCTGTTAACCAGGGGGCAGGGCTACTCAGGGAGAACAGGGGTTTAAAAACCCATCTCTTAAGTGACCAGAAGAACTAGTGGACAGCAGCAGCAAACGGGAATTTTGTGAGATACACCTAACATTGTCTAACTTAGGCCAATAAACTCACCCCAACCCCCCTAACCCCAAAAAATAAAAAAGGCTGCAAAAGTAAAAATAATGCAGGCAGAAGTCCAGAAGCAGGATGAGGGCTATCTGGTTTATTGCACTGTATGAAGCATGTATGATTACCTGCTTTGTGGGTCAGTGGCGTATGCATGCACTTGGTGGAAGCAGCACATGGCCCTCAGAGACCAAGTACAGGCTCTTGAGGACAAAGTGGCTGAAGTGGAGGAGCTAAGGGAGACGGAGCAGCACATAAACAAGACTTTCCAGGACATAGTAGAGCAACTCTCCTCCTAGCCCCCTGAGTCTGACAGGTTCTGTGTCATTGCTTGATGCACTCTGTGCTGTTGAGGAGGATGAAAATCTCAGGGAAGGAGAACATCAAAATGGAGCGGAGGGAAACAATCCTATAGTTGGACTCGCCTTCCAGATGATGTCATGGTATCCTCTTGTACTGTGGATACCCCTCCAGTGGAAAAGACCCCTGTGATTAGGAAGAGACAGATAATAGTTATGGGGAATTTGATTATTAGAAATGTAGATAGCTGGGTTTATGATGACTGGGAGTACCACATGGTGAACTGCCCGTTAGGTGCGAATGTTGCAGACTTCTTGATACATCTACACAGACTTAGGGGCAGAGCTGGAGGTCATGATACATGCAGGTACCAGTGACTTAAGGAAAGGTAGGAAAGAGGTCCTGGAGGCCAAATTCAGGCTGCTAGATAAGAGATTAAAGTCAGAATCTCTATGGTAGCATTCACTGAAATGCTTGCAGTTCCACGCCAGGGCCAGCTAGATGGGCAGAACTGCAAGGTCTCAACATATGGATAAGACAATGGTGTTTTAGGAGGGTTTTAGGTTTATTAGAAGCTGGGAAATCTTTTGGGAATGGAGCTGCCTTTAGAGGAAGGATGGACTCCACCTAAACCAAAATGGAACCAGATAGCTGTCATGTAAAATTCAAAAGGTCGTAGCAGAGTTCTAAAACTAAAGGCTGGGGGAAAGTGCATAGGTGCAGAGGAGTACACTGTTCAGACAGAAATATCCCATGGGGAGGATCTATCAATGGGGATTCTCTATATCCTAATAAAGAGGAGAGGATAGAAGTTGATAAAGTACAGGTAGGAACTGGAGAGAAACTGTCAAATGAAAGAGTCCCGTTCAATTACATTATGTGAAGGCAGACAAATAAACATTAAGAAATGTTATAAGTGCTTGTATACACATGCTAGAAGTCTAAATACTAAGATGCGTGAAGTCCAGTGCCTGGTATTAAATGAGGATATTGATTTAATAGGCATCACAAAAAATTGGTGGAATGATGATAATCAATGGGAGCTGGTAATACCAAGGTACAAAATATATAGGAATGACAGAGTAGGTTGTGCTGGTGGGGGAGTGGTACTATATGTGAAAGGAAGCATGGAGTGAAATATAATAAAAATCTTAAATGAATCAAACTGTAACATAAAATCTCTATGGATAAAAAGTCCATGCTTGACTAATATGAGCATAACTAGAGCCGTCCCTAGGATATGGTGAATCAAGGTGATCACTCCGGGCCCTCGCGGTTGGCTGGCACAGTCAGTCTGAGAAGTGACAGGTCGGTCCCAGAAGTGACAGATTCATCGCTTCCATCCCAAGCCCTGCACCTCCCAAGGACGGCCCTGAGCATAACAGTAGGAATATACTACCAACCAGCTGTCCAGGACTGTGAAATCTTCAGGGAGATTGGAGAGGCTATAAAAATAGAAATCTCAGTAAAACTGAGGTGGATTTCAACTATCCCCACATTGACTGGGTACATGTCACTTCAGGATGGGATGCAGAGGTGAAATTTCTGGACATCATAAATGACTGATTCTTGGAGCAGCTAGTCCTTGAACCCACAAGGGGAGAGGCAATTCTTGATTTAGGCCTAAGTGGAGCAGAGGATCTGGTGCAAGAGGTGAATATAGCTGTACTGCTTGTTAATAGTGACCATACTGTAATTTAACACCCTTGTTGGGGAAAAAATACCAAAGAAGCCCACCACAGTAGCATTTAACTTCAAGAAAGGGCACCACACAAAACACATAATGAAGAAGCTAGTCATAATGAGGAAACTAGTTAAAGAGAAATTAAAATGAACAGTCATAAGAGTTAAATGCCTGCAAACTGCATGGAAACTTTTAAAAAACACCACAATCGAGGCTCAACCCAATTTAAAAAAAAATAGTAAGAGGACAAAAAATGCCACCATAGCTAAACAGCAAAGTAAATGAGGCAGTGATAGGCAAAAAGGCACCCTTTAAAAATTGGAGGTCAAATGCTACTGAGGAAAATAGAAAGGAGCATAAACTCTGGTAAGTTGAGTGTAAAAGTATAATAAGGCAGGCCAAAAAAGAATTTGAAGACACAGACTAACGGTAAAAATATTTGTAAGTACATCAGAAGCAGGAAGCCTGCCAAACAGTTAGTGGGGCCACTTGATGAGCGAGGTGCTATAGGATCACCTGAGGAAGACAAGGCTATTGGAGAGAAGCTAAATGGATTCTTTGCAATGATCTTCAGTGCAGATGATGTGAGGGAGAATCCCACACCTGAGCCATTCTTTTTAGGTGACAAATCTGAGGAACTGTCCCAGATTGAGGTGTCAATAAAGATTTGGAACAAATTGATTAAATAAATTGTAATAAATTGCCAGGACCAAATGGTATTTGCCTAAGAGTTCTGAAGGAACTCAAATGTAAAATTACAGAACTACTTACTGTGGTATATAACCTACCGATTAAATCAGCTTCTACACCAGATGTCTGGAGGCTAGCTAATGTGATGCCATTTTTTTAAAAAAGGCTCCAGAGGTCATTTTAGTAATTACAGGCTGATAAACCTAATTTCTGTACCAGACAAATTGGTTGAAACTATAATGAAGAACAGAATTATCAGACACATAGATTAACACAATTTGCTGGGTAAGAGTCAACACAGCTTTTGTAAAGGGAAATCACATCTCACCAGTCTATTAGAATTCTTTGAAGGGGGTCAATAAACATGGACAAGGGTGATCCAGTGCACATAGTGTATTTGAACTTTCAAAAAGTCTTTGACAAAGTCCTTCATCAAAGGCTCTTAAGCAAACTAAGCAGGCATGGGATAAGAAGAAAGGTCCTCACATGGATCAGTAACTGGTTAAAAGACAGAAGACAAAAGGAAGGAATAAATGACTGGTTTTCAGACTGGAGAGAGGTAAATAGCAGGGTCCCCTAGAGATCTGTACTAGTACCAGTGCTGTTCAATGTATTAATAAATGATCTGGAAACAACTGGGTAAACAGTGAAGTGGCAAAGTTTGCAGACAATACAAAATTACTCAAACTAGTTAAGCAGTTCTGCAGAAAAGGACCTAGGGGTTACAGTGGACGAGAAGCTGGATATGAGTCAACAGTGTGCCGTTGTTGCCAAGAAGGCCAATGGCATTTTGGGATGTATATGTAGGGGCATTGCCAGCAGATCGAGGGACATGGTTGTTCCCCTCTATTCAACATTGGTGAGGCCTCATCTGGAGTACTGTGTCCAGTTTTGGACCCCACACTACAAGGAGGATGTGGAAAAATTGGAAAGAGTCCAGCGGAGGGAAACAAAAATGATTAGTGGCTGGAGCACATGACTTATGAGGAGAGGCTGAGGGAACTGGGATTGTTTAGTCTGCGGAAGAGAAGAATGAGGGGGGGATCTGATAACTACTTTCAACTACCTGAAAGGGGGTTCCAAAGAGGAAGGATCTAGACTGTTCTCAGTGGTAGCTGATGACAGAAGAAGGAGTAATGGTCTCAAGTTGCAGTGGGGGAGGTTTAGGTTGGATATTAGGAAAAACTTTTTCACTAGGAGGGTGGTGAAGCACTGGAATGCGTTACCTAGGGAGGTGGTGGAATCTCCTTCCTTAGATATTTTTAAGGTCAGGCTTGACAAAGCCCTGGCTGGGATGATTTAGTTGGGGGTTGGTCCTGCTTGGAGCAGGGGGTTGGACTAGATGACCTCCTGAGGTCCCTTCCAACCCTGATATTCTATGATTCTATGACTGGAACTGTTCAGCTTAGAAAAAGTCAACTAAGGGGAGATATGATAGAGGTCTATAAAATCATGAATGGTGTGGAGAAAGTGAATAAGGAAGTATTATTTGTCCCTTCACATAACACAAGAACCAGGTGTCACTCAAATAAATTAATAGGCAGCAGGTTTAAAACAAACAAAAGGAAGTACTCCTTCATACAATGCACACTCAACTTGTGGAACTCACTGCCAGGGAATGTTGTGAAGGTCAAAAGTATAACTGGGTTCAAAAAAGAATTAGATAAGTTCATGAAGGATAGGTCCATCAAAGACTCCATGTGTCATAAGAACATAAGAAATAAATCAGAAGCACTTCACTTTTAGCATACACTAGGATTTGTGGTTCAGAATTTGGGAGCATTCCAGTTGCTGTCTACTGACATTTTGGATTATGTGGATTCAGGAGAGAGAGTAAAATTTTACCCTCCCCCTAATTCTCCTTCCCAAACTCTCATTTGGAATCTGCTGTCTGTGAGAAATTTTCTTCCTATTTCCTCAATTCTCCTTAACATGGGATGGAATTATGTCCCTCCCATCCCCAGCTCCTTGCATGGCAACAGACTCCTTAGCATATAGCTCTACCTCCTACTGTGAATAAGGAAGTTTTAGTTGCCTTCATATCTGCACCTTCCCTTGGACCACACAGAGCATGCTCCACAGGTCACTAAGAACTAGATCCTCCAAATGCTTCCTATTGAATAGACAGCTCATCAGAACAGAGTCAATAGGACTATTGAAGGAGAAGCGGTGGTTGTGTAAGAATGTGGCTTCAGAATTTAGGGGGTCACTTGCCACAGTGGAAGGAAAGATTCTGGATTGCAAGTTGCAGCCAACATCAAGTTCTAGAGTTATGTCATATTTAAATAAAATAATTTAAATGGTAAAATACAAGCTCCCTTGACTTAATACAAACAACAACACAAGCACTAAGTTTTGTAGGAAGTGTTTGCAACATCAGGCCCCGATTCTGATTGAGAAACTAGAGAATAGAACTAGACAGAGAACTGAGACTCAGTTCTTTCACTGTCTTCATAAATAAAAGTGTAAGTTGGTATTGCTATGATTCATAAGGTCAGATTAGTTTTGAGAATTTTCTGACAGCTACTGGGAACATGTGAAAATGTGCATGGAGCCTGAAAGCTTCATAAAGTTTAAACACAAGTGTGTGTCCGAATATTTGTACAGTATTGGAAATACATTTACTGTCCGCTATTCTCCTCGCTAAGGCTACCTCTTCACTTGGAGCTGGGTGTGTGATTCTCAGCACAAGTACACATTCACACTAGCTCTCGTTGTCCTAGCACACTAAAAATAGCAACGCAGCTGCCATGGCACAGGCAGCAGTGAGCAGTGGCATGGGCCAGCCGCCCCAAGCATGTACTGAAGGGGT